AGTTGGTGACTCATCTGATAGTCGGTTTGGCTTATACTCAAGTATATACACACACACACACACACACACACACACACACACACACGATATGGCTCCACAGCCCCATGCCCAGGAGAGAGGCTCTACCCCACCCATAACTGTCGGGCTGACCAGCAGCTAGAACACACAGTTCCAAACATATCAGAGCACCCCACTGTGCACCCAAAGGTGGGTAGTTCAAATCCACTCAGTGGGGTCACGGGAGAGGGCCCTGCAATCTACTTCAGAGCCATCCAAGCCTTGACAGCCCTGCTCTGAGCCACGGGCCCACAGAGGCTGGAGCCACCCCCAGACGGTGGGCTGTATTTGTAAATTGGAATCATTTAATGTGTGTTCTTCAATAGCGTTGAGGTTTTGTTTTCAGGTACTTTACACTACTTAGCCAGCAGGTGGCACCAGACGTGGGGAGCCTGAAAGCCAGCGGGGTTCTTTGTAATTGTTACCCTTGCATGACTAGCCTATCCTTTGATAAAATTATATTCTTAATATTTCTTGTCTTTTACTCCCAGTAATTTTTTGAACTGTATTATGGAGAATCTTGACTAGAAAGAACAGTGTGTGAACCCCTAAGAATTATAACCTGTCCTTCACAATTATCAGCTCTTGCCCAGTTGTGCCCCAACGACTACTTTTGTTCCATGTTAATTGGAAACTTACCTTCTCCATGATTCCTTATGACTGAGTCTCTTATAGTGTATTTTCATTCTCTAAACTTTTATTCTGCTTAATATTCTAATATTTACTTTATACTCCCCTTCTAAAAGAAAATCAAACTGATTTGTCATCGTAATAATGACACTTTTTACACAGATCAATTTCTGTAAACTTGTTTATAAAATACCTTCCAGCGTGTTATTCACAAACATTTTAGTTGAGGCTTAAGAATAGTCATGTACAATGAAACCTGTGAAAACCAGAACTCAATAGGTCTGCCTTGTTTTTCTGGGGTATGTGTTTTCTGTCTTTGATAGGGTACAGTTTATTGCCCTTTTTTGTCACTCATTTTAGTCAAAATGTTTATATTTTCTGACAAGTTCCTTCCTTATGAAATTTCTAACTCTTAAGGTTTTACCATATTTAACAATAAGAATTTCACCTAATTGTTGCCTACATTGAAAATGTTTCATTCATATACCATAGAATATAAAAGACATCTTTTTACAATTCTGAGGAAATATTAAGATAGTGAGGACATAAAGGAGACTTTGGGGTGTAGGCTTGTGTACTTAGATTCTGTTGTGGTTTGTAAAATTCTATAGGAAAATATTCTAATAAGTTCTTCCCTCTTTTTTGCTCTGTAGGATTTTGAATATGCTGACCAGGCAAGGGGCACTTTGGGCTAATACGCTAGGTTCTCTAGGTAAGTAGAAATACTTCTTGATAATAAATTATGAGCACAAGGAAATAATATGCCAGTATTGTGAACATTGTAAACAATCAAAATTTGGTCCTGGTGTATGAAAAAGGATCTTTTAATCTACTCTGGTGACTAGTGTAGATACTCCATAGTTAAGAAAAGACAAGGAAATACATTATCAAGTAATTCCAGGTACTGATACCATACCTCATACAAAAATCAAAATCATTGTAATGTAGTTAATTCCACCTCTTACTAACCATATAGGACAATAGAACTGATCCTTAGAGTTTTGAAGGCTGTAAATCATTATAGAAGTAGACTGCCATTGAGCAGCTAGTGGCTTCAAACCAAAGACCTTTCAATTAGCAGTGGAGCCCTTAACTGTTGGGCCCCATTGACAAAACAGAACTGCCTCCATAGTTTTCAGGGCTTCAAACCTACATAGAAGCAGATTGCCACCTCTTTCTCCCATGAAATGACTGGTAGACTTGACCCACCAACCTTTTGTTAACAGCTGAGTGCATTACTAGGGCTTTTATTGTGATGCCATAACCTAAATCTATTGTCCTCAAGTTAATTAAGGCTTATAACGACA